AAAAACAAGCATACACATTTTTAGAATTTCATGCTCAGCAATGGTTGACAGAACACCTTGTGAACCCAAATCAACCATGTTTTTTAGATTTATATTTCCACTCAATATTACTGAACATACGGAACAACCCTCATATATATAAAATCAAGAGATTATTTTAGACTAATAAACGTGAAATAAGAGAATTTTATGAAAACTAGAATACAATTCGAGATGCAATTACACGTGTTTGTAACATGAACACCAATTAATTTGATGGTATTGTAGCGGAATACTCCCTCTGCTACACTGCTCCGAGTCTCACTAACTTGGGTTCTTTAGAATAGGTCTTGTATTTCTAGTGATACCCCGCTCAATCTAAGGACTGGCATTCCAGAGTCAGGCAGATTTCTACCTCAGCGGCATACCGTATTATTCTTGGCTTCTTGTCTTTCGCCGACTTGGTCGCAGTCGCCGACTCAGTCGCATGGTCGTTGACTGGTCGACGACTTATTGGTCGCCGACCTGTCAAAGGTTCGCCGACTGGTCTCAGTTTTGGTCACCGACTGGATCACCGACTAGGTAACAAGGCTATCGACTTGGTCGTAGAGTCACTGACCGATCGCAGACTTGTCGAGGTCTTGGTTACTGTCGCCGACTTGGTCCCAAAGTCACCGTCTGGACTTTCTGTGGTCGCCGACTTCGACGCAGAGTCGCCTTCGTTATCCGATCTATCTATCTATCTATCTATCTATCTATCTATCTATCTATCTATCTATCTATCTATCTATCTATCTATCTATCTATCTATCGAGAAAGAGAGAGAGAGAGAGAGAGAGAGAGAGAGAGAGAGAGAGAGAGAGAGAGAGAGAGAGAGAGAGAGAGAGAGAGAGAGAGAGAGAGAGAGAGAGACCGAAGAGCTGTCCTCAGTCAGAGACTTTTGGTCGACGAATGATCTTGTCCATATTCTTGTCCGATTTCCTGACCTAGTTTTCTACTATCCAACAAATTACGATCAAGTATGCTTGCTCTGGTGAAATGATTGCACTGCTACGCTACATTCGACGTCTTCACACTATGCAACTTCTTAACGCACTACTATAGCCGCCATAGCTGGCCCGTGTGTATATATATATATATATATATATATATATATATATATATATATATATATATATATATATATATATATATATATATATATATAACGCTAAATGGTACTGAAAAGCCTGCCAAACATTTAAAATCAAAATATAAGCTTTGACGAAACGAAATGCTAAAGAACGAAACGAAAATTGAAGTCCATAGAATTTACTCGTTACAGTATATTATGGAAGGAAATAACTCCGTGCATAGTAAAGTATGCAAGGTAATAACTCCGTGCATAAAAGGCTTTACAGATAAAAATAGTCTAAAAGTTAAAAATGGAATTATAATCAATTGGTTTCGTTTAGTTTGCAAATAGAGGTGGAAATAAAGTCATAAACGGCAAAATCCATTCTTTTAACGAATGTCGGTGGCTATAAATTGGGTTGGCGTGGGTCTGTCTTCGAGAGACGATGGTGTAGAATATGCCGTGGAATTCATTCTGTAAGTGAACATACACTAAAAGCCGTTGATTCTGTGTCAAAGCATGGATCGGAGACTTTGGTATTTCCTCCGACAACAGATACCTTATTGTCACAAAGAAATGAATAAGATTTGTTTGCTTGTGGAAAGTAGGACCAAAAAGCTTTACATGCTAAAAAGAAGTTGCATACCTCACTGTGAAACAAACGTAATTATGTACATATCAATCTTGGATAAATCTTTGCTGCATAATTGTGGTAGAGTAGCAAAGAGAAACTCACCTTTGTGACTCTACTATGGACCTTTTTATCTAAAGAAATCTTTGTATGGGAACAAGTTGATATTGGGCATGACCGACCTTATCAATAATCGTACTGTTGTCTTATTGTTAAAGCATAACGTTAGGGTGCTTGTGTGGTTTTTCTTTCTTTATTGTTTGTTTTTAACCAATTTTGCTTTCTGAGTCCCTAAGGACTAATAGTTTTGTAGCATGTTTTTTTTTTGCGTTAGCTGTGATTTGTTCAAATGTAAGCTCTAGCATGTAATAAACTTTGAGTTACAAATTATTCATTTCAAACGGACAAGAGAAATCGACATCTGCTTCCAGTATAAAGAGTGTATGCATGTACCCACAGTGTAATTCCAGAATATTATGTACGAACGATTGGTGACTGACAGAAACAGAGACAAACGGCGAAGCAAGTACTTGACATTGATTGAGGATTTAGGCTGAAGGAGAGAGCTTAACAAATATAGAATTTCAAACCTTGGCTTGGAACGACTACTGACTGGACCGGGTTTAGGCCTATGCTCAAAAAGCTACAGCTTAGGGCCTCACAGTCAGTATGGGTCTCTAAATAATTCAAAAATAAAAAATGTTACGAATAGTTCATATTTAAGCAATAATTTGCATAATATATTCGCTACTATCTATCTATCTATCTATCTATCTATATATATATATATATATATATATATATATATATATATATATATATATATATATATATATATATATATATAGATGCAATAAACTGACGACGAACAGTACGAAACTAGTAACTAACTAGCCTAAGCGCTTTCGACTCTTAATAAGTCTTTTTCAAAGGCAAATACAAAACATAGTTACGACAAACAAATAAACACAAAAACGTTGCGTTTGTAAACCTCTACATTTCTATCTTCACATGTGCTAAAACTATAAATACAACCAGCTTGTATAGACTAGTTGCGGAAACTGAAAACGTTGTATAATTCCCTAAAAGTCTACAAGCCAAAGCGACATCTATTTTTACTTTGTGTACATATGTAACGCAGATTATATCCCGGATATTTGGTTCTATACCGGTTATTCTTATAGTAAAAATTGAAGGATAAGAAGATTTAGAAAATGTTAAATTCTACTAGTGCATAGTTTTCATTTTCTAGTCTTCTTGGTTTAGACCGCTTGGTTTCAATGTTCTAAGGCGGCGTATCCAGTATGATTCCTTTTCCTTCCTGGTTTCGGAACTCCAGCTATTGCCAACAACCACAGCTGGAGTTCCGAAACCAGGAAGGAAAAGGAATCATACTGGATACGCCGCCTTAGAACATTGAAACCAAGCGGTCTAAACCAAGAAGACTAGAAAATGAAAACTATGCACTGGTAGAATTTAACATTTTCTAAATCTTCTTATCCTTCAATTTTTACTATAAGAATAACCGGTATAGAACCAAATATCCGGGATATAATCTGCGTTACATATGTACACAAAGTAAAAATAGATGTCGCTTTGGCTTGTAGACTTTTAGGGAATTATACAACGTTTTCAGTTTCCGCAACTAGTCTATACAAGCTGGTTGTATTTATAGTTTTAGCACATGTGAAGATAGAAATGTAGAGGTTTACAAACGCAACGTTTTTGTGTTTATTTGTTTGTCGTAACTATGTTTTGTATTTGCCTTTGAAAAAGACTTATTAAGAGTCGAAAGCGCTTAGGCTAGTTAGTTACTAGTTTCGTACTGTTCGTCGTCAGTTTATTGCATCTATTTTAATTAATCCCTGACAAACGTGATCCCTTGGTGGATCCAGTACGCTTGAGAGGGTTGTTATTCGCCATATGATTTGTATTCTTTATATATATATATATATATATATATATATATATATATATATATATATATATATATATATATATATATATATATATATATTTATATATATTTTATATATATAAAGAGATATATATCTATCTATCTCTTTATATATATATATATATATATATATATATATATATATATATATATATATATATATATATATATATATATATATATATATATTTTATATAGATAGATAGATAGATAGATAGATAGATAGATAGATAGATAGATAGATACTAAATGATGTCAAGACAAGAATTTTTTCCTTCCTCTGTTCCATGTGACAAAATGTTGGACATTTAATTTCCAGGTATAACACTCTTACAAAGTGACAGCACTATCTCGGTACGGTGGACAAGAGCCAATTCACCCTCTTGACCTCACTAAGAAGCTCTTGACCAGGGATAAACGTCTGGGTCAAAACTATCAGCATGTTCTTTTGGAAAGCAAAATCGCTATTCCAATTGTATTTTGTTTTGGAAAGCCGAATAGCTATTCCGATTGAATTTTGTTAAGAATTTGAAACTGATGGAACTTGTTATTTTCGATGTTATTGCAAACTTGTCGATTGAAGCAGAGGTTACACATGCAATACAATAAAGTGTTTATCTGTTTATAAGAGATTCACATGTGTTATTGTATTCTCTCTTCTAACAACAACCTATTTCTACCCAACTAATACACGCATGCGTATAATAGACAGTCTGATAAAAAAGCCATGATTTAGGTTGACAAAAAGTGATGTGCCATTATGTTATTCTGATATTCGATTTTGTCTAGTGCTATCTATTTATTATACATATTTTACATTAGCTTCATCTGCCTTACAATTTAAAAAATACATTTATTCATTTGAATGTTAGAATCATTACAGTATAAAGCTGGCCGGTTGAAGGCTATTTGTGACGCATTTGGTGAGTCTTTGTCATCGACCGACTACACAAATATATCACATCAGCTTGCCTTTGTGTCAAACAAGTGACATGCTTTATCTTCTATTTTGTGATATTTACTTGTCATCGAGGATATATTTAAAATGAAAACCAAATCTGAAGAAGGCTGGCACAACTTATTTTTAAGATGAAATTGCAATATTTAATGTACATGTAATGTGATTATGATTTTTAACGTAACTTTAACAATTTTTCAGTCATATCGCTACGATGTCTGCAGTGTGGCAGTTTATAGTGATGTCTAGCACTGTAGCATAATGTCCCACCCAGTCTTATTATCCTGAAACCAGGCCGACCAGTCGTAATGCTGCGCTTCAAGCGAGGCCGATATTAGTACCATTTTGTATGTCTTTGGTGTGACTCGACTGGGGATCGAACCCAGAACTTCCCGCGTACGAGGCGGTCGCTCTAACCACTAGGCCACCGGAGAGGTTACTTATTTGTCTGACATGAATGATGTTTTCAAGCCAAGCAATAATATGGATTCTCTAAATCTGTCATGTTTAAGTTTCCAAATCAAGCGATAACATCCATAGTACTTATTTATCACACATGACTGAATTTTAAATCCAAAGTCATAAAATTGATTGTATATATTTATCTTTGCAACACACACACACACACACACACACACACACACACACACACACACACAGTGTTTTGTCGGTTAATGAAAGAAACAATTATAACAAAGAAACTTAAACGAGACTAAATTAGATTACTTATTATCCCAATTTATACACTGAAGCACATGACTTGAGCAAGGAAAGAAGATTAGGGATAGAAAAGGTGGAAGTTCAAAGTTCAAAGTTGATTCAATTTAGATACATATCTTGTCCTCACAATTATTGTACTTAATAAATTTAGGGAAGAGTCTTGTTTCTCTATTTGGATTCAGATGTAATTAATTTGGAAAATCAAAGACTTGTACGCAAAGTCGAGTAACGCGGTTTGTCAGATATACCAGTAAATCCATGTTAGTGAAGAGCGTTATTACAGTAAATGAATATTTAACGTATTGTTGACAAGACAAAATTTGTTCCCCGTTGTTTCGAAACTTCACTGCAGTCTTGACTCAATTTAGTGTGTCCTGGAAGAAGCAGGTAGCTTAGTTAAAATTTCTACGCTTGTACTATATCAACGATCCCTCCAGTTTATTTGAAAAAGATATTCTTTTGGAAAACGGAATTATTTTCGCATTCACTGCACAGTAATCGGATCGCACATTGTCTGGTGAACGCAGTAATCGAGTTTTAAAGTGAAAATCAGTGATGAGCAAATGAAATTTTTGTATGAAGTGATGCATCTGTCATAACTGCCACTAATGATCAAAGGTTAAAACACGCTCGCACGCACATTCACGTTAGCACCAGCAAATTATTGCTTCATAGGCTTAAAGATTCTTCAAATATTTTCTAATTGCGTGTAGGTCATTTTTAATACCATTCTCTCGTTTGGATAAAATCTTAAAAAAAAGAATTAAGAATAAAATGAGGTCCTTATAAAATGATCACGCCTTATATGGAGATTAAGTAGTCTGACAATAGATACATAGTCTTTTTGTATTTGCCTTTGTCTCCACATAAATTTGTGCAATACTAGTGCAAAGCGAGGTGTAAATCCAAATGAACTGTGATTCAATCCCTTAACCCTTGGTGTGAATTTAGTAGGAGAGCATTCGTGTCCTCGAGGACTGACAGCAATTAATAAAACTGTGATTTCTGTTGTATCCTTAGGTCTTCTGGTGATTCTGGGCTGCACGCAATAAATATGTCAAACCATATTTCCCCTACTTTATACTTTTTATGATGATCAGAAATAGGGCCATTTATTTCATGACCTGAGTGACAGGGCTATAAAGTCTTTGTTTAATCCCTAGACTTCAGGCGAGATAGAGGCGTGAGATGTTAATTCCTGGTAGCTAACTGCCGTCTAACGTAGACACCGGCAGTGTCATTTTACGCACGCGGACAACCGATTTACTGACATCAGGGTAAGAAATCCCCTTGCGAAACATTAACTTTCATTGATGACACTTTAGATGTAGCCCGATACGGGGCCTTCCATAACCGGGCGAAGATGCAGCCTAAGAGGCGAAAATGGGCTTTGAATCATTCACTCTTTTTCAATTTTTTATTCATACATACAACTATACAACTGGAAATGTAGTGTGAAGATTTGTCTACTCGTCTGTTTTACATTTTGGAACATTGTGTCTCAATGAAATGACAAAATAAATCGTATCCAAAGCATTAATATCCATTAGCGGGGTTTTCAGCATTCAATTTGGTACACATATTTGACCTATATTTTTAGTACGGGTATTATATTATCTTGTCAATTTGCTTGTTTTAAAGAAAATTTGATTGTCATTTCTTACAACCGCATTCAAAATGCATAATGGACAATAATCTTGATGATTACGACGACGATGATTTGATGATGATAATGAACATGACGACAACAAAGATAAATATTTTGTCCTTAATAGTTTTGTCGTTTTGTATATTCCTGATTTCTCTGTTATTGTTGATGTAGTTGTTTATTTTTATTGGGTTGGTCGGTCAATATTTTCAATAATATGGCCCAAAATTATTCTGAGATAAAGTAAATCTAAAATTATTTTAAAGAATTCGTTATATGACAGTCTTTGATTGCAAAAGGTGTCCAAACGTGCTCCGTCGGAGAGAAGGGCTTTCTAATAAAGTGTCGGTACTTGTGGGAATAGACGCATGATTACTCCAGTTGTCGTATCCTACATATAAGGTCATTAATTGTATTTCATTGAATGACTCGGGCCAGCGGACAATGCATATAAACTCAAATCAGCGTGTACTACTCGATCCCATTGAAAAGGCGATTAGGAACTACAAGCCTAAGTCACACATATCCTTCTTGGATGACGTTCCATACTTGGGATGTTGCATAAAAAAATAATGGTTCCGTATATGAATGAATGAATGAATGAATGAATGAATGAATGAATGAATGAATGAATGAATGAATGAATGAATGAATGAATGAATGAATAAATAAATAAATAAATAAATAAATAAATAAATAAATAAATAAATAAATAAATATGTATTTATTTCCGTTATGTCAAGTGAATATTTGTAATGATCTATAATTAATCCTATACACTTTGATTTTTTTTTCTTCATAGGAATCCGGAACGACTGTATATCGATGAAAATTAATTATGTCGTCATGCGAGTGTGTCTGCTACGCATGATTGTATTGTATATAACACCAAATTTAGTTGCATCATTTCTTGGTGATGCGTGCTTATTCGTGAAGGAATATGGGCTAGTGCGTGCTGGCAAGGTGTTGGGTGCTGTTTACCTGCGAACCTGGGTTTGGATCTCCGTAGAGTACGAATTAAAACTTCTCCTATGTAAACTTGCATTCCCTTCATCATGTAGCGAACAACAAAGTAGTGCTGATAGATAAAATGTTATCACCTGTCATGAACACATGTGATTTTTTTCATATAAAGGCTGATTGCAATGCTAAGAAATTATTCAAATAATTGGTTTGAAATACATAAGGTTAATTTATACTTTCTGTGACGTACAATTATTTATATTTGATGGACGAAAATTCAGGAAACGCTTCCATATTTTCATGTTTTTCTGTAACATAAAACTATTGATTTAGAAATGGAACATTGCACAAGAAACACTCTCACAATTTACCCTAACTCTAAAAGCAAAGATAAAAGCTACACAACTTTAAATGAATAAAGATTATTTGTGCGTCGTTTTGCATCCCCAGTCTATTAAAGATTATTTAATTAAATAATAAATTAATAATGATATAATTAAACATTATTTTGTTGATAATTAAACCAATAAAATGATCTGTTTGTTTATCACCTTTGGACATTTTCAAGTGAATTAGTTGCGAAAATAGCTAGAAAAGACAATAAAATATAAATAAATACGAAAAAAATAAATAAATAAAAATAAAAAGGAACAAAATGTTGGTATTAAAAGTGAACAGCGCTTTCTTCTGGAGTGAGTCGTTGCATAGGAAAAGACACTATTTAACAAGAATAGAAAAAATTGCTGCTGCAGCTGTTCATGACACAAGAAAGCGCATGAGTGATAGTAACATGTGCGCTTATTTAAATATGTTTAACTTTTCAATAAATATATGAAGAGCATCGAAATTACGAACATAAGATTCGCGGGTATTTAATGTACTTTTGAAGTTGGTAATTAAGTCAATTTTTAACGATTCGCAACGTCTAATATATTCCATTCTTGAATGTCCGAAGAACGAAACGAGTTGTAATAAAGACTTGTTTTATCCTCTATTAATCGGAAATCGTTCACACTGCGTAACTATAGCGAGTAATATCAACTTGAAGCAGGTAGAAACAGAGACAAGGAAGATAGGGAATCTTTAAACCAATTGTCATTTGATACAATATTGTAAATTTATCTGTGTAGCGGTTCAATATGGATGCGTTCTTTTTCCATATTTTTTTTCTGGTTCTCTTTTCTCAATTAATGTGCAGTTGTTCAAAGCCACATTGCTATACTGCACAATGAGATATATAAAAGATGGAAATATAATTTGAAAAGATTTACTTTTATGTTGGAATTTGAGTCTACGCATTGGATAAATTCTTGGTTAAGCCATTTTTCTTTATATAATCTATTTGTTGGTTCCATGTGCACTCATTTAAGAACAAAATCCTCTTGGATTTTTGAGCAAGTCAACTTCCTTATTTCTTGAAAATATATAGCGGTGGATGGAAGAGTTGATTAAGTTTCCTAGAAATTTTCAGGGATTTATGTTTAAATGTGTTGAAAGATGTAGGCTATTTATGTGCTCATTGAGGAATGTTTTCCAAGTCACAGTTGAGGTTATGAGGGGTTACGACGGAATTATCTACGATTAGCGAGAATTTGTATCATCCGACAATGAGCATCCATTAGAGTGAATATCATATTCAATATCATACATGTATAACAAGAAATGTAAGGGACCTTAAACGGATTCTTGGGGCACACACGTAATAATACAGTTCTCCTCTGAAAACAAGCCCGGAAGTATAAATCGTTGTCTTCTGCTTTTGAGATAGCTAGATAAGCATTTTATAAGGCTTGCTGTGAAACCAATGGCTTTCCATTTGTGAACGAGTTCTTAATGCTACACTCAATCAAAAACTTTATTTATGTCGCAAAATATAAATCTAATTTCCATAGCTGAATCTATTGAGCTGCAGAACCATTCATGTAGACATACTAATTGCTAACTGTGGAATCAGGTAAACAAAATTTGATTGGAAAAGTGTAATAATATTATTTTCACCGAAGCCTTCAGAAGCTTTGTCAACAGTAACGAAAAGCGCTATAGGTTTTTGATTATATACAATTAAACTGCTGCTACTACTACTACTACAAATAATAATAGTAATAAT